TATATATATATATACATAATAAATAATAATAAAATAATAATAATAACATTATTGTATTAAATTTACAGGCAACGTAAAGGCAGGAGAAAGATTAGAGAATTTCTGATTAATCCGAAACAAATTGATCGCAATGACTAGGGCCTGTATGTTCGGGCGGGATCCCGGGTTGCGCGCGGAGCACCACTGTGTGCTAGTGAGTCGAACGCTCGCTAACTTTGACTATATACAACTGGACTGCTAGTCCCTCATTTTTGCTACAGGAAATGCATACGTTCGATGATTCCAAACTGAAGTTGGCTGAATATTGTTAGGCTCCGCCCTGGAGCCCAAAGACCGGGAAGTTCAAATGCAAAAATTGTCATGTTTTTTATAGTAAGACTTTTTCAAATAGGAAAAGTTTAAATTCATTAAATATTTGGTTGAGAATTGATAAGAAGTCGGAAAAAATCTGAAATAGATGGAAAAGGGACGTAGTATTGTTTTTGAGGTTATGCTACTTGTTACGAGAATTTGTATATGTTAAGAATAGAGATATAAAACAATGAAAATAAATAAAAATAATAATTTTAGCAATAAATATATGAGAAAAGTATTTAATGAAAGGTAATAATAAATAATTTTTCGTGATTATCTTTGAAAGCAGTAACTTTTAATATTATTTGTTTTAATCGAAATTGAAAAATAATTTAATAAACTTATCACCTGTCATAGGCGCATCCATATATAATATTGCACTGATTATGACAAGTAATTAACAGAGAAATGTTGATAATAAATTAAAATAATTTATGAAATAATTAAATAAGAAAAAAATCATAAAAATAATTATTATGAAACAAAATACAATTATTAAAAATTGATTAAATAAAGTATTTCAAAATTTCTAATAGAAATATTATACTTTTGCGCGTATGTTCGTCCTTAATTTCTGGGTACATTATATATTAATAGGAATTTAATTACTTGTAGGCAGGCAAGAGTAGGATGGTAAGAAAGTAAATAAATAATAATTATGTGTTAAATCAATATAGATAATTAATAAAAATATGTAACAAGGTTGATAGACATATATAAATAAAACAAATGATACATGATGATATGTAACGAAGTCTAAAATATCTAATATATTATTGACCTTTAAATAAAATTGTTTTATTTAATGAATGCCTGACTGACAATCCTTGGTGTCGAAGAGTAACGCATTTTCCAATGTAAGACATTTTTGTCCGCAAGTAATAATCTATGATTAATTTTATCAGTTCATATTTATGATTTTCGATGATATCTACATCTTTAACGTGGTTATCAAAATTTTTAAACAGTGCGGTTATATCTAAATTTCGCATTGTGTCACATATAATTTTTTGATACGCATTTTTAAGTTTGATTTTGTCATTGTTGAGATATATATTAACTAATTTCTCCACAATCCATGTAACTTTACACGTGTCAATCCTTGGAAATCTTAAAAATCCAAAAGACTTTCTTGTAATAAAATCGGACTCTGCCTCTGGACACTCGTCCAACAACCTCACACATTCAGAGCATTTGATTTTATTCAATACACGTATTTCAACGAAACCTGATACATAAAGCACTGCGTGGTTTAAAGTATTATTGATGCATTTCAGAGGAATGTCATCCACGTTAATTTGATGGTCATCAGTTTCTTCATCTTCTTCGTTGCATTCGGTGAAATCTTTAATTTTCTTTCCCGATGCAACAGTTAAAATCGACGTGTTGTCCAGCGATATACAATTTGCGGCTGCAGACGACTTAACTTCGTTATGATGTAAAAGCTTCTTATACGAGGCCGCAAATTGTGTTGCATTCGGATTGTTGTTGTATCCACCCATTGTCCGAAAACACGAGAAGAGTATCTCAAGGTGGTCTTGTGATATTTTATATGACAGTATGTATTTCAAATGGCCATTTATTACAAATTGTTCGTACATATTCTTTAAGTTAGACATGTCGAGTATGAAACCACAAAATCCTACTTTGAATTGACTTTCAATAACAAGTTTTCTTATTATTCTTCCAGTGGTACGGCTACGCACGTCGACTTTCAGAGTGGAGAAATATTGAATAGCTTCTGCAAATAAAGCGAAAATTACTTCTGCTGTCTCTGGCATTAATGGTTTTTTAAAACCATTTGAACACAGACTTCTTGAATTTAAAACGTCGAAGACGTCGTTGACCATTCGACAAAATTTTATAGTTGCAGCACATCCTGTGAATTCTGGATGCCCATCTGCCAACAACTGCTCCAATGCCATAGCAGAACTAGTGCTATATGTTTGCGCTGCTATCTTCACGCTCATTTTATGTTTCCACCATTCTACATGCTTTCTATTTAGCTTATTTGCTAAATGAAAGTACCCTTATTCTTGCAGTTTCACCAACTTCTGCAGATATTGGAACATTATAGGTTGTCCATCGCTATCATATAAATTGTGCTTTCCCATCGTGTTCCGCACTAGCTTTAACATATGCGGTGCGTCTAGAAAAACAAAAATCGGATGGCCGTCAACTGGATGTGTAAAATAAGGCTTGTCATTATATATATCGGCACCTAAATCGGAACACATGGCAATGTTCCCCGATAATCCATCAAATGTTAGAGCTATAACGCGTACTCCTGATTTTGCGACGAATTCCAGAACTCTCTTAGTTATCTCCGCTCGTTCCGATGCCTTCAATCCATTCAACAGGAAATACGCCACAGGTATTTTCCATCTTTCGTTTAATCCTGTGACCAAATACACCAACGCTTGGGTTGCTATTGGTGCTCCACAAGGTTCCTCAATCGCATGTCCGTAGTCAATATAACCAAACATTCTTTTTTCTGAATGATTAAAGCTAATTTCTTGACGAATCGCCATCTCGTCCGAAGTCAAACATCCATATAATATTTTATCACCGTCAGCTTCAACTTTCCTTCGCAATACCTCTACGGCTTCCTGCGTACAACCGGGTGATCCACTAGTGGTACTGTACCACGATCGGATCGTGGATGGCGCAGGCAAGCGATTCTTAAACGTTGAACGAATGTATTTGTATGCTTTTGGACTGTAAAAATTGATTGTCATGGCAAAAGCGCGAAGCTGAGGTGGATATTGTCCTTTTATTTTCCCACTTTCTATTGCTTGTACTATAGTGGACTTTTCTGTTAAACCCTACAAGCACATCGATAAAAAAGAACTTAACTACATATGTAACAGTGAAAGAAGATAATAGAAGGATAACATAGAAACAGGAGAGAATGTGATAGAATTTGACACATGGAAAGTGTATGGAGTAAAAAATATTCGGAATGTTTGGAATTTTATACAATCTTGCAATCGTGATTTTGGATCAATGTTACTGTATTTTTATATAATTGTATAACTGTTAATATTTGTAGAAATTACAGTCATTATATTGTTTACAGATCTAAGACTAATTCTATTACATTTTCAGTGTAAAAATATAGTTTCTATGTATAATTGAAGATTATTTAAAATTACAATTTATGTTTAATAATATAATATTCAATACGAAAATTAAAGCTGATAGTGCTTCGTGATAGACAATTTGTATCAAATATTATTATAAAACAATTATATTTATCATTGATTAAAAAGTATATCAATTGCCCACACCACTAATTAGTTAATAGAAAATAATATAATCTTATTAGTGAAGCAGTGAAAATATATAATTATATATATATATACTAGGAACAGACCGATGTAAGTGGTGTGTGCAAATGAACCGCTCCCTATTAATTGTTCCTTATTACCTGTACCATATTCGAAGCATTTTCTGAAAGAAGGTTCCGTTTGGATAATTCGGACAACAACTTCTCTAGGGTTTCAATTCTTTTTTTTTTTGTCGACATTGTCGCAGGTGTAGTCGTTTGATTATTTGTGTTTTTTTGTCGTAAGCGTCTTTCAATATACATACAGCTTTGATAAGCGACCTTGGTGACATTTGCAGTAAATTTTCTTTTCTGATTTGAGCTGGATATCTCAACTCAGTATTTGCAGTCGCTACCAAAGCAGTGACAGATTCCATGTCAATATTAGCATCATTGCTGTAAAAATTGAAATAATTACTAAATCACTATAATATTTCGACACAATCTATATGGATAAAACAATTACAAAAATAATAAGTAATTAAGAAATACTCATGTATGATATATTCTGTACATTTCCCAACCTTGAACTAGGAACCTCTTCATTGCTTTCTTGTTGCATCATGTCGCACGAACCTGATTCCACATTCTCGGTGCAATTTTCCTGCATTGGAGTTTCCATTTCCAAACTAAAAATACAAATTTGTATTACAATCGACTATATTACATATGCAAGTCTCACTATAAAAGAATCGATTTGCATAAATTGAGTAAATAATAATAAAACTTCACGATTTTATGGATCTAATAGGTATATTTTCTTTTACTGTAATTATACCTTGAATTATTAACTATATTTCCTTGTTCAATGCACACCATGTCAGAAGAGTCCATAACGTGTTCCATTTCCTCCGTGCAATCTTCATTCGAAGATAATTCTATTTCATAACTGAAAATACAAAATACAATATATATGTCCTTTATAACTGTGTCGTTTTCATATTACATTTGTTACTTTTCATATATAAAAATGTTCATATAGTGATACTCATACAGTCTTTTCACAACATATTAAAACAAATATACAAATGCATTCATATTTCTTACGATGACATATACATTACCTTTTTCTATTCAATACATTTGGAAATATTGATGGCACAGAATTTTGTTTCAGTCGTATTTGGGTGGAACCAAATTGTTCAATGCAAGTGTCATCAAAATGTTGAATACAAATTCTTGCGTGATTCGGCAATTGCAGGACACTTTCTTGATGATTCATATTATATATAGCATCCACCCACTTCTGTTTTAACAATGGATTTTTTGGAAATCTGTAAAAATATCAATTTACTCAATTTTATAATATTGCCAGTACTATAGATTCCAAGTTAATATGCACAATGAAAATAATAAATCATATTTTGAAAATAATTACATAGAACATGAAATTAAGTAATAATCGGAATATATACTGAATATCAGTTTACAATTGGTAAAAAAAACCAGGTTAGAAATAAACAACTCACTTGTAAAACGGCAAAACCGGTTTGTTTTCGATGGCATGTTTACGTTTATATCTTGAAGATTTGCACCCGCTTATAAAACAATACATACTTTTACGTTTTTCGATGTTAAAAACGCTTTTCGATGTTAAACACGTTCAAAAACAGGGTACACCATAAACGTGCATATACTATAGTCAAAGCTCCCCACTCCTGCAGAAAATTGGGCTCCGGGGCGGAGCCTATTTTTTCAGCTTGGCATCACGTCTGAAGTTAGCTACTGGCAGTCCAGTTGTATATAGTCAAAAATAGCGCCCCGTCCTATTACCAAGCGAGCGCGAGCACGGAATATAGCGAACGATACAATACGTGGCTACTACAATCGCGTTCAGCTATAAGCTAAACCACCAAACCGTCGCGATTGAACCACAGACTTCTATATATTACCTAGACCGCTAACTCTGTCCCTTTAACTGCCGTCAGGTTGTATGTACTGCTGATGGCACATGCGCAGAATATGGCTTCGCATGCGCAGAACACCATATTCTTACATACTTTTGTATACGTACACGAAAAGATGTTATAAATAGAATGTATGAAATTCAAGAATTTTTATTAAAATTTTAACATTTTATAAAATTCATATATTTAATAGAAAGTCTTAATAAAAATTGAACAATGTACCATGTACATATGAAGATAGTGTATGTACGTAGTTATTATATTTGTATATATAAAAATATATATATATGTATATATAAACTTTTTAAATAATTAATGTCTTACAAATATTTAATGTAGGTGCACAAAGACTGAATATAATTAACCCTCAATTACAACTCTGAAAACTACATGTAAGTTCTAATGCTTGTTTAAAGTGTAAAAAACAAATAATCCTCGGCTCTGCAACGATTGATAGAGGAAATTGTTACAATTTAGAAATTCATAGTATTAATCGTACAGATTGTAATAAAATGCTAAAGGAAAATATTATAGTTACAAAATGTTCGTTCGAGTCCAAATGACCCGTTGCTTTAGTTGCTTTAGTTAAAAGTTAAATACTATAAAACACAAATCATGCAATAAGAAAAAAGCATATTTTATAAATTAAACAATTTATATTATTTTAATGAATAACTATTTATACATCAACTTGTAAAACTTCTTAAGTTTTACAAGTTCATTTATAAATAATTGTTTCTATTTCTATTCATTTAAAAATAAAATTTGTTTCGTTAAACGATGACGTTTTCTTTTGGGATGCAAAATATTTTCAACATAAAATTTAGCATAACTGTGTAATCTAATTTTTATATATTTAGATGATATTACTGTAATCAATTTCATTTTATGTGATGTTTCTAATAGCCCGTCATCGCATAACAAATTAGGAAATATCTTATTGTCTAATACTAGCGCACGTCTAACTTTATTTATTATTTTTAAATCTAACCCTTTTGTTTGTAAGTTTGTTAATTGTAATGTTTCAATTTGTATTTGTTTTTCCGTTTCTAATAATATTTTGTGAACACTTTTGGATGCATAAAGTAATCCACCTCTTGTACTATGCTTTACAAAATCAGAAAAAGACTCGCGATCATAATTATATTCTTGTTTCTGTATCAAACTGTTATGACAATGATAACAATCTATCATATTTTTTAATTTTCTTATAATATATCCCGCTACATAGAATATTATATTTTCTTTTAGCATATCGAAAGTTGGTGATAATGCAAGATTTTTAGACAACTGCTCATTTTCCAAATTTTCGGAACTATCTATATCTTCACAAATTATTAATCTATCGTCATTCTTTTTTTTCCAGACAATATCAAGAACTGCACCAGTTGGATCATTATCTAATTCCAAAGAATTTAAACCTGTACTATTTGTTTTAATATCGTTACGCATAAGAATTTGCTTCATGGCATATTTAAATTGCAGTACGTTTGGATTATTATTGAAACCATGTCAACTTCTTATTTTTCCAAATAATATCTCCGCATGATCCTGTGAAAATTTATATGTTAGAAGATATTTATAATGAGGTCTTTCATTAAAAATATCTTCTGCTACTTCTAAAATTGATTTTAACGCTAATGCAAATCCATATATAAAAGTTCTTCTTCCTGTTTTTATTAATTTTGTACCATCTTTGGCTTCTAGATTGAATAAATAATTTATCTTTTCAGGGATTACTTCTTTTAAATAAGTCAAACGATTTTTTGTGAGAGGTTGTTTAAAACCTCTGCCAAATGGATTTCTACTATTTAATACGTCAAACAGCCAATCAATTATTTCAATAAATTTTACCGTAACATCGCAGTCTTGAAACTCTTTTAAACCAACTTTTTTCAAAAATTTTATCGTATTATCTACAGAAGCACTTAAAGTATGAGCAGCATATCAGACTTTCATTTTATTTTGCCACTACTCGACACACTGTGCATTTAATCTATTTTTAAATTTGAATGTTAATTGTTGCTGAACATTATGTAAATTTTTTATATAAGACCATTTTATTTGACCATCTACTGAATTAAAAATTCCATAATCGGCTAAAGCATTCCTACATAATTTTAACATGTGACATGCATCTAACAATATCCGTACGTTTTAATTCAGTGTTGTATGTGGAAAAGAGTTTTCAAGATCTGCGAAATTGTCTACAAAAATATTACATCCTAATTCTCTGAATACAGAGCAATTTACGCTGTCGCCATCACACGTTATTGAACGTACGCTTATTTGTACTTCTGCGGTTAAAATTAGAGCGGTTTCTATCAATTCCTTTAATATTGGAGCAGTTATAGAACGCTTGAAAAAATATGCAATGGGCCATTTCCATTTTCCGTTTAAACTGACTAATAAGAATACTAAAGCTTCCTTAGCTTCACTTTCATTTCTTTCTAACGTTATACCATTACCATAATCACAATATCCAACAAATCTAATAAGAATACTAAAGCTTCCTTAGCTTCACTTTCATTTCTTTCTAACGTTATACCATTACCATTATCACAATATCCAACAAATCTATGTTCTTGTTCATCCCATATTATTTGCTGCTTGATAGCCATACTATCAAATACTAAATTACAGTCTCTGTCTTGCTCAGGAATATTTTTTAAACCGTCTAGCACCTGTCGTTGGAAACCGGGTGAGGCATTTACTGTTGAATTCCAATTTCTAATTGCAGATGGATGAGGTAATTTCAAGATTGTTCTATATAGAAAAAATAAAATATGAAAATTAACCGAAAATATTAATAAGTTTATACTCTTTTACAAAAAATAATTTTTTTAATTATTTTGAACCAAATCAAGTACTCGTTTTGTGAATTAAGATGAAATAAGTTTTTAGAAATACGCAAAAACAATAATTAAAAACTTCAAAGAAGTGCAGTATAAAACATGCCATAGATAAATATAGCAAAAAAGTAATTAATAAAGAACTAATTAATCGATTAATTAATTAAAAGTTATATGCAGCCAATCACCGAAAATGTAATAAAGGTGAATAATAAAACACACGCATCACACTAAACCATAAAACATGGAATCAAACATTTCGTTTAGCCCAAAATATGTGCAATTTGTATTACAAACATTAAAATTATTATGAGATTGGAAATAAGACCGTTTATGTTGGAAACATTACTTTAAATACAAAGCGCCACTACGGTCTAAATGTTAAGACGTTGAACTATTACATACGAGGTGTGATCAAAAAGTAAGGTGACTTTTTGAATTTCGGGCGCTCTGTACACTCTAATTTCAAAATTTTTTGTTGTTGTGTTGGTACACTCGTCACGATCATATGTTCACAGTTTTGATTATATAGCATGTGTTGTTTTTATGTGAGAGGCATAAAGGTTAGACTCGTGTTTGCGTGCTCGGCGATTTTTTGCTGTTGAAAATAATGGAGCAGAGAGTTTGTATTAATTTTTGTGTAAAAAATGGTATTAAGTATTCAAAAACTCTTGAAATGTTGACAGTGGCGTACGGTGAGTCAACTTTGAGCAAAAAAAATGTTTATAAATGGTATAAGTTATTCCAAGAGGGCCGAGAAAATGTTAACGATGAACCTCGCTCTGGACGCCCCAGCACGTCAAAAACCGACGAAAATGTTCAGGAAGTGAAAGAAATTGTGTTGAAAAATCGTCGAATCACGATTAGAGAAATAGCTGATGATCTTAACATATCGTTTGGCTCATGCCAATCAATTTTAACGGATGTTTTGGGTATGACACGTGTGTCAGCGAAATTCGTTCCAAAACTGATTAATTTTGATCAGAAGCAGCGTCGCATGAACATCGCCCAAGACATGTTGTACGACGTCAATGATGATCCTGATCTGCTCAAAAGGGTTATAACTGGTGACGAAACATGGGTATATGGTTATGACGTCGAAACCAAAGCCCAATCATCCCAGTGGAAGAGCCCAGGAGAGCCAAGACCGAAAAAGGCACGCCAAGTTCGTTCGAATGTGAAAGTTTTGCTCACAGTTTTCTTTGATTACCATGGCGTTGTGCATCAAGAATTCCTACCACAAGGTCGTACGATAAACAAGGAATATTACCTTGAGGTTATGCGGCGTTTGCGTGAATCAATACGAAAAAAACGTCCGGAAGTGTGGAAAGAAAATTCATGGATTCTGCACCATGATAATGCACCTGCTTACACGTCGTTACTAGTGAGTAGTTTTTTGGCCAAAAACAATACTGTCATCATGCCTCAGCCACCATATTCACCAGACTTGGCCCCCTGCGACTTTTTCCTCTTCCCAAAATTGAAAAGGCCCATGAAAGGACGAAGATTTGCGACGATTGAGGAGATTAAGGCTGCATCGCTGGAGGAGCTCAAGGCAATACCCAAAAGTGCATTTCAGAAGTGTTTTGACGACTGGAAAAAGCGCTGGCACAAGTGCATTGTATCAGAGGGGGATTATTTTGAAGGGGATAACATAATTTTGGATGAATAAATGAATATTTTTTCATAAAAATGAAAAGTCACCTTACTTTTTGATCACACCTCGTATATTCATATTAAATGAATTTATTTCAGAAATTATAATTGCGTACCGATATGGTTGTCGGACTTTCAACGCAATCAATCTGAAATATTAATAATCCCTCCAAATTTCCCAAATTTAAAAAACTATAATAAACTTATTGCGAAAAATATTATAATTTCTGA